CTGGCATTGTCCAGTAAAGCATAAACTCGTATTTCTCTTATGAAACAACCAGACTAGCAATATACCCATGTTTATCGGCACATCTCCAGCTTCAGTTATGTTACAGATGGCAGTGTGATTGCTACTAACTCGAGGTTTATCTTGAGGTTGGTTCTTGTCACCTTTGTCGTTTGATTTCTTAATTCCATCAGGGTTGTGTAGTGACATTGGATGCTGCTTGTTGCATGTCTTGCACGTTTGCCTTTCCTTGCAATGCTTTGCAATGTGCTGGTAGCTAAAGCAGCCGAAGCACAGTTTCTTCTCTACTACAAAGTCTTGACGATCACTCAGAGATTTCTTCAAAAACTGTTCACACCCGTTTAAGTTATGAGGCTTCTTGCATAAAGAGCATACAACAGTCTGTTGATTGCTATCTTCCTGATTTGCACCAGTAGCAAAGTTTGTCCCTTTCCCCCTTTTTAGCGGCTTTCTTGTAAACTTAAGACGAGTGCCTCTATCTTTTTCATCATGATTTGGCTTGCTAACACATTGCTCTGAAAACACAGGATCTGTGACAAGATCAGCTTGTTCACACACAAATTGAGAGAACTCTTCGAAGTCTGCTATTCTTCCCTTTGCACCTTTTGTCCTATTGTCCCTTTCACTCCTTTTGGTTCGTAGGTACTTGGGTAACTTTTCCCACAGTTGACGCAGTACATGAGCAGTGTTTAAATCATCTATATGAGACATGTCTTTTATAGCAGACTTAGCTTGATCCAGGGCAATAGAGAAATCTTGGAGGGCTAAACCATCATTTGGTCTGATTGGTGACCAAGAAGACAATTTCGTGATTTGGGCAGTAGCTATCTTGAATGGATCACCAAATTGTCTCTTTTAAAATCTCTTAGCTTCTTCATAGGATCCTTCCATTTTCCTTTGTAGACATCCGTTTATAATTTCTTTTGCTTTACCTGACCTGTATTGACCCAGAAAATATAATCTCTCATGGGAATCTTCAACCTTTGATTCGATTAATAACTGAAAGGCAGTCATGAATAATGGATACTCCATAGCATCACGATAAAATACAGGAGGCTGGTTCGATGGCAAAAGACTCCTTGCTTGCTGGTTAACAATAGTCTGAGACAACTCAGTTTGTTTTCGTTGAATTTCCACAATGTCTTGGGAAGTATTGTCTTTGACTGACAAACTTGTTGAACAACCTTGTGGTAGTGATGGTGGCAGACACCATACCTGATCAGGAGCAGTATACGTAACAGCAGGAGTCGTTGCTAAAGATGGGTATGATGAAGAATATACACTCGAGGGGTGTTCATGGGGTTTTGCTGCAAAGGCCATAGTCTCTTCCTTACTCTGTGATGCACCGGTATTTATCGGTGTTGTGTAAACGGGCCCTTTCTGAGGTACCGTTAATGCACTAAGAGGACTAGCTTGTAAAGGCTGTTGATAATCTGTAATGCCTAAAGAACTTACAAGTTGTTGCTGCGAAGTTGGTTCCAAACCAGCGGAGTTACCTGATTGTATTGTACAAATCGGAGGACTCTGTGTATGAACAGGTGCAAAGGTTGATTCTTCATTCTTCATTTCTTCGTAAATCCTTTCTTCTTCCCTTGCTTGAGCTAAACTCTGTTTTAGCTCGAAATGTTCAGCTGCCATTTTAAGCGCTTGCTTTTCCTTCAGAAATGATGCTTCAATTTCCAATGCTGCAACCTTGGTTTTTGCTTCTATCAACTTAGCTTTAGATGAAATTGAAGATGAGGTGGACCGTTTAGAGTGATTTGACTTTCTTGTGCGATGAGACCCACTAGAGATAACAGAGTTTACTTCATTTGACTGATGCCTTTTCGCCTTGGACGAATGTTCAATGACAGACTCTTTAAATTTAAAGACATCTCCATCATGAGCATCGTACCATGAATTGGCATTAACAATAACAGTTTCATCTTCTAACGCGTCAACATGATTATCCTGAGCATCTTGCAGTTTAACAAGCAAATTGTTAAGACCTTCCATTTCAACTGACACAAATTCATAATTGTTAAAATCAGCAAGTAGCGGTTTCATTCTGTTGATCTGTCTAGTTACGTGACGTAATGCCACAGCCCTATGATCCTTTAACCTTTGTAACTCATGTTGTTTACCTTTCTCCGTTGGAATTTTTCTCCTTTCGCCCACTCCTAGCACTTCAGCATCACTGACCGTCGATTTTGCTCCAATATTCTGTGAACCTTTAACCTTTACTGAATTAGAAAGTTCCGTTTCTGATGCTGCATCCGTTGGCTGAGTGTGAAGCGGCGATATAACACAAAACAGTCCCGTATCCATTGTTGGGGAGTGCAAACGCGAAACTTGCAATCTCAGCAAATTGTCATCCTCAAAATAAGTCGCAAATTCCTTGCCTTCACCTTCCATGACCGTAAATATCCCTGAAAACCACAGACAAATAGAAGCACCGTAATTGTCCTTGTAAACGAAGCCATAAACAATCCGTAAGGTCCATGAGGTCGTGAAATAACTGTAGCGGCGAATGGTGGCACATGATAGCCGTGACGATGAAAGCAACAACAAAACGTTTAATCATACACGAGGCTGAATCAACTCACAAGTATAATCACAAATATGCGTTAGAAATCCATAGCACGAGAAAGAAAAACTGAAACAAACCACTTACAAAACACTTAGGAAACTTGAAGAAAACCTTAGTGAAACTAAGGGTTATTTCACGGTGGCCTCGTGCCCGCCAATCAAGAGGCCCCTTGCGCATGCTCCTAATAAACAAGGGGGTAAGCCCGCTGGTCAGGATACCAGCAGTTACACTGTTGGTAAATTGAGTCTGGGACATCTTCAACTGGCCCGAAAAGCAAAGATCCCAAACGGGCTTCCTGTCGACTTGGATGTTTCTCTCTGAGCTGTGCCATGACGTCATCACTTAGAGCCAGGAAACCCCCTCCATTGTTTTCACTTAGATAACGCAAGGCCGAGTTGATTTGCCCTGACATAACAAGTTAGCAAAAACTCTTGCTGCATTAGTTAGATTAATCCTCCAAGAGTTGCTGAGGCGCTTTTGAATCATCCATCCTTTTCGCAGCAATTTTTCGATTTCACCCTCTTTGTACAGAACCAGTTGCTTAGCCAAACACTCTTGGTGATCCTTAGCCTTTGATTTCTGGCTAGGTTTTTGTAAGCCGACTGCAAAGTGTACAATTGCTGCTTTAAGAGCAATGGGCTTCATTTTTGATCCATTGTTCCAATCGTTTATATTCTCTGTCATCTTATCAATAAACTCCCTTCCTACTTTTCCATATGGGACAAGAAAAGTGTTTTTCCGCCATTTTGAGATCTCGTTATATGCATTGTCAATGGTTGACAAGCTGACTGTTAATTCCATTTGCAGCACCTTTCGTTTCGTCATCCACAACTTGGTTCAAAGTGCCTTCATTAAGGCTCTTTCTGAACTGCCTCTCAAGATCCTGCTTAACCTTTGTGTACTTCCTAGCGTTGTCATCACCAGGTCTCTTTCTTTTTTGTGTGTACCTGTCCTAGTTATAACCAGAGTGCCTTGGGATTTCCCTTGGAGTGTTACTTCTGTGATAGGCAAAAGGGCGATAAGGTGACCTGGACCTGAAAGGCCTCACACTCCTATAATCCTTTGTTGTTTGTTGTTGTGATATGTAATGGTCAACTGACCAGCTTGTTCTCTGCCATGTTTGCGACCTCCTTGGGGGAACTTTCCATGATTCATTTCCAAAAGTTCTGAAAGTTGGAAAGTGTTGTCATGTGATATCTCTTTTTGGAGGAATACCCGTCAATCCATGCAAATATACATTTAGACTACCCTGTATGCAATTTTTTTGGTACTTATAGACTGGGCTTTGATGAAAATCAGCTCCTCCAAAATAACATCTCCTATCATCTGAAAAGTAAGACAACATAAGGTGGTTATTTATGATGAGAGAGTAACAACTAAGTTAATCATTTTGCGTAATAGCCATGTTGATACAGTGAAGGATTAAATTCATAAGGAACAGTTCTGTAGGGTAACATCACATGGTCTGAAATGTGAAAACATCAAATGTGACCAGATTAAAGGATATTAATTAATTAAGTCAGCCACTAAAATGTTCAGCTGCAGAAGAATGGATTAGCGTTATGCTCTCCCAAACAAGATCTGGAACTCAAGACTGTGCACGGTATTATTTAAAGCTGTCTTTTTCCAAAATCGATTCCTACAATGTATACGCTTGTGTGAAGAGTAAAATGGTACTTATTGCACCAATGCTCTCCATGATTTTTAATCTTCTGTTGCACATTTTTGTTGCACTTCCACACTAAAATATTTTGCCAAGGTTTTAATGTAGACAAAAAGGAACTGGAATCAGGTGGTGAACCTAGGCTACATGCAGTGGTCTTACCATGAGCTATATTTTCAGTTTGAAGAGCTGTTGCCTTTTGTTTCTGGTCCTCCATTATGTCTTCTAAGTTTACATCATTAGTTGGAACCTTGTGCTTCCATACTGATCCTAAAATTCTCAGATCGTTATCAAGGCATACTCTGTTAGAGTACTTTATTCAATTACATTGTTGTAACCGTTTTCTTGCCACAGAAAGTTGGGATTAGTTGTTTCCCTGATATAAGACAAAACCAAAATAGATTACTTACAGACAAATATTTAAAATGTAGACTATGTATATTAATTCAACTTTTCAAGACAACAAAGCAAATTACTGCTTATTTTCAGCTGCCACATATGACAATGAAGTCTTTGGCACTGAGGCCACAAAAAATTGTCAGTTTAAGTGGTTATTAAAATAATGAAAGTGGAGTTCAGTTACAAAACAGTGAATTAAAAATCCTTTAAAACAAAGGCAGCTGTTTTCCTTTATGCAATTATGTGTCTCATTGCATAGATGTGGTGTATGAAATTAAATCAGGTTAGAAATTTTCAGCCTTTAACCTTATACAATCTTATCAGTATTTCAACAATGGTAACTCTTCGCTTATGGCGGAGAGCATGAACAGCTCAAGAATTCGTGGAATGCGATTAGGTGACCAACAGTAATTGACTTATTTAATTAAAATCCGAATTTCTGATTGGTCGAGTGCATGTTTGTACCTATTTTTCTACGAAAATGGGCGATTTCAGCTCTGAAGACTTAAAAAATGGAGCAAATTAGGTCCGATCTATTGTTATGACCAACTTCAGCAAATTCGTATGTGGCCGCAGAAAGTTATGGAGATTTTTGTCATCGCGTGGCAGCCATCTTGGAAATGCTGTTTTGCGTTCTCTCTTTGAGCACTTATTTGAGTTTCCACTATAACTTTAGAATAGATTTGTATTTTTTGTATATAGTTTTGTCAATAAGTTGTAAATAAGTGTAAATATTGGGAAGTGGTGGCCTCTGGATTCACCTAAAATGCTGTTCGAGTCTTTGTGTTGTTGTCCTCACCATCGCAAGTGGAGGCATGGCGAAGTGAGAAGCGAGTAGTTGTGCTAGTGCAACTGTGAAGAGAAGAGATAGTTAGAAGAGTGTCTCGGTTCGAAATACAGAAAGGCAAGAAAAAGAAAGATTTGTTTGTCATGTAGATCTAGGCTAGAAGTGGAACTCAAGTATCGCAAAATTGATTTAGGTCAATGAGCTTGTTTTAATCTTTTTTTCTGTTTATAATTTCAGTTTAGTTGCTTTTGCAAGTCATTTCGTCAGTTTTTGTTTTTTGATCAGCTTTAAAGAACGTCATGACAGTAATAATAACCAGAAAACTACTTCTGTTGCTTTATATTGAGTGATAATTATGTAGGAAGGTATACACAATTGTTCCTGACAACATAGCTTTGTTTCCCTTTTGCATGTATTGTCTGGAGGGGTTTATTCTTGGAGATTTACAGTAGGCAGAATACTAAGGTGTAAGTCACCCAGTCCGCTGTAAACTGCTGCTTATAAGCCTTGGGCTTATACATCTTCGTTAGGGATTTTGGGAGGGCTTACAGTGTATAATCTGAGGGGATTTTCTCGTACCAGAACCGGGATAGAAAAAGCACAAGCATCAGAAGTGTGGATCAAAATGTGTAATTTTTTTTTCAATACATTTGGAACAGAATTAGAGGGGACTTATATCCAGTGGGGGGGGGGGACACCTATAATCAGATGTATTTTTTTGTTTTCAGGTAGATAAGCCTGTAAGTGGTGTAAAAAGCGAAAAAAGGCACTCTACGTTTGGTTTCTCTGAGGGACCAGTGATGAAAGCACATCTCTGAACCCAAAATTGGTGTCATTGGTCAAGGAATATCAAGAGTCTGCTGTCAAAGAAAAAAGAAACAAGAAAAAAAGGAACAGAAGGGCCAAACTGAAAGGCAAACTTGCTATTGGCAAGTCCTTGAAAGACTGGAAAATAACACCTACTGGGGGGAAAACACTGAAACACTTTGAAAGCAGAACTGAAGCAGCCAGTGCTGTTGGGAGGCTGACTTCCCAAGCAGATGAAAGAAGACGCCTGCATTCTAATCTTGCTATGGACTATCCATACCGCTTTTTACAGGAGATGTTTGGCTGTTCATCCAAAACAGTTACTGCAGCAAAAGTCCACCTTATTGTGCTTAGCCGTGGTGGAACTCCACCATTACAGTTTAAATTTCAACAATGTGTAAGTCCTGAAGTGCTTAACGAACTTTCAGAATTTTTTAAGAGAGACAGTGTGTCCAGACCATCATCTTGTCAGAGTGTGGTCATGGACGGTGAGGAAACGCCTATTAGATACAGGAAGGACAATGTCAAGGAACTTGTGTACCAGTAGTTACTGGAATTCCTCAATGGTGTTAAACGTACGTACATCTATATGCATCTCACTGCAGGCCTGTGCAACATATGTGATGATTGTGGACACTCCTGTTTTGAGAAATTAGTCAGGAGGCACTTTCTCAGAAAGGGCTTATTTTTCATTTTCGCTAAACATTTTGGGTAGAGGAAGGAAACAGCTTATAACCTTCGTCTTACCACCCTTATTAAGAATATTGCTGTTTCCACCTTGAAATCGAAGAATCCCGACTGTCGGGGGGGGGGAGGGGTCATTCAAGGCTCCCTTTCCTCTAAACATGGAAACAAGCCTGGAACTAAAAGCCCACAGAACCAAGGAAAACGACCACCAAAATGCAGGGATTAAGTTGCATAACTGTTTTTTGGCCACTTAGAATAGTAGCATAATCATTAATAAGGTTCTGCTTAGTCATGTGACTGGACAATAGTAATCACGTGACCCTAAAAATTTAGGATATATCGACACGCAACAAAACCAAAATGGGATTATTTAAGTAGTAACTGTTTGAATTGAATGATATTTATCCTTAACATCAAGTAACATCAAATATTTTTTTGAGCAAAGTCAGTGATAATAATTTGTTTGACAATGGGGCTTAATAAAATCCTGGTTGTGGAATACGGAATATGGATCAATGGAATATGAAAATGGTTCTCTTCTCAGACATCTTTATTCACACAACTGATGCATTTCTCAAAGGAATAAGTGATGAGAAGTCGACTGCCTACGTACTTTTGGACATGAGTAAAGCCGTTGACCACCAGATATCTTATGTAATTTACAATGCATTGGCACTTCAACCAGCGTGCCAAAATGGTTTAACTGATACCTTACAGATAGATATCAAGTTGTATGAATTCACAGTTCCATTTCTGATCCTCTTCCAGTTGAATGTGGTGTTACTCAAGGTAGTATTCTAGGCCCCCTATTATTTAGACAAGACAGAATTAAGAGTGTGTCCAAAAGAAAACCAGCAGAACCAGGCAGGGGGTGATAATGCTCAAATCACCGATTTCGCTCAAATTTGGCGCAAATGTTAGGTATCAGGAGTTAACTTATGTGACAGAATGTCTGGTCAGAATATTAAATATTTAATTCCCTGGGAGATCCGGGCTCCCCCTGTAAAAATTGCCATTTTGCCCGTTTTATGCATATAATTAATTAACTAACTTTACGATGCCAGTGCAACAAACAGAAAAGCCACCTGGAACTTAAATGCACTGAGAGACAATCTGAGTTCATAAGACTTTAAGCACAATAAACTGTTTAAAGTTGCCGATTCGAATTCCCTCCTCTTAGCCCCCTTAAGTTGGGTCATCATTTCCAAGTTTTGAGTAAGTCGTAAAATTAGGCTATTTTACTCCCCAATGTTAAGTTTCTCATTCAGTTTTCATTATTTTTAGTTTCATTTCATTTCTAGTGTTTCATTTATGTCATTGCTTTGTTTCTAAGACGCCCCCTAGATAGCTGTTATTCAAGTCAATTGTCTGTTTTCGAATAAGAAGCATCAAATAATACAGTACAAGAATAAGTTTTTGTCTCCTTTAGTTTCGTTTCGTGAAGTTTACTCTGTGGGTGAGATATGTAAGTAATCATTTTCCTTTCCTTTCGTAGGTATTTTTGTTGTTTTTGTCTTTAGGTTATTGATTTAGTAATTTATTCCTGCCCTCGTGGGCATACATGTGTACATTTTCGTAACAATTTCGCATATTTCGTTATTTACTATAGTATGGACATTTCCGTTACCTTTCTCTACTAATTTTATTTTCATCAAAAGTCAATATATGAAGCATTATATTTAGGTGAACAGATGTATTTGTTAAGTTTTTTCCATGCAAAATGCACTAGCTTCTACTTTGTCATTAAGCCTTTCGTACACAATTGTCTTTTTTTTTATCGCTACTCGTTTATATTTTGGTTTCCCCTATAAGCTAGTTCATTTAGTTGTATTTCTTTTTTAGTTTACGAGAATCATTGACTGTTGGCAGGAAAAAAAGTCAAGTCTGATTACATTGTTTCATCGCCTGCAAGTCTTTGTACTTTGTGGTCTTAAATATCCCCGATCAGCCAGCAACACGTTTTGATCTGATAATGACGAACATGACCGTTGCTTCGCTTTAACACCCAATATCTCTGATGAGCAACAGCTTATCTTTATAACATTTGCATAAGTAGTTAAAGCCATCACTTAAGTTCAGAAAAAGATCATAAAGAGTTTGGGCAATTCACTTCTTCCATGTGTTGACATAAACTGTCCATGTGACTGAACGACTTTTGCATATTTCATCAAAATTCAGGCTCTCACAATATTCGTGTGTTTGCCTTTGAATGATGAGAAATTTAACAAAAAACTCATCAGACAATGATTTAACATTAATAAGGGCAAAATCGTTGAAATTGTTGTGCAAAAAACGATGATTTTTGATAGCTATATACGCGATCTTTTCAAGTAAGAACAACATACAAAGATTTAATTCACACTTTTACTTACTTAAATAATTTCATCCTCGCACGGGATTGTACCCGAAATCGAACGAGCGAGCGCAGCAAGAGAGTGAGATACCTGATACAAACAACGAGTGCGAAAATCCCGTACAAGCGCCCTGCCCATGAAGTAATTTATTTAATTCATACCTACTGAGTGAACATTTCTTCTTTTTATTGAGAAAAACTTCTCTTTGTTTAGAAAAAATGACCTGCGAATTTAAGAAACAAGGGCCAGCTCAAACCAAATTCCCTAAAAAATACATCATTCTTTGTGCTCTACAAATGTTGTGAGTTAAAATATTGACAAAAAATTGATCAAAAATGAAATGCAATGATTTAATGACTCAAGTAAATTACATCATTAAATGACCCCAGAAACACCGAATAGTACTATCAACAAAACAAACTTTGACAAAAAATTGTCACTCCTCGCAACTCTCCGTCTGTAATGAAATACCTTGTAAATGATGTTAACAGCTTCGCTCATTGTAACAACATGCAGTTGAACCCTAGTAAGTGCAAGCTGATGCGGGTTGATTTTTTGCATTAAAAAAGTTGCTACAGTCAACCAATAGCGGTAGGAGGTTCTGTTATTGAATCGGTGGAATCGTTTAAGCTCCTCGGGGTGTACATTTCCTCGGACCTCAGCTGGTCGACTC